AACCTCTTTATCAAACTCAATCTAAACGTCTCTCTCAACAATCCTATCCCACTCCAAAATCAAATCAATCTTACTTCTTTGAACAAAGCGGATTGGAAACAAGACAAGGAAACCAGTCTTTGGGTATTTTGACCCGGTAAGCAAACTCTGGGAGCTAGTTCTTCACGAGCTGCTCCTAGCTCTTCTCGTGCTCATCCTCCTCCTCCGGCACCGGCTGCTGACGATGATCTTAAGTTTCAACAACATATGCAAGATATCGACGATTACGTTCCAGGCGATGAGCATGCACCGGAACCGGCACGGCAAGAAGATCAAATGCCACCATATTTTCGATCCTTCTTGGAGTCGTTTGATCTGAGGTTTACCTCCATGGAGTCTCATATTACTGATTTTCAGCGGGAGATGCGTGAACGTATGGACGCACTCACTCTTGAAGTTCGAGCTCATTATCCTCCTCCTCCCGACCCTCTGATGGATTAGACCTTTTCTCCATGTTTTCTTAGTAATTCAAACTTGGATTGTTTTTTATGTTTTTGGATTGTTTGTTTTGGATTGTTAAATGCTTGAATTTGTTATGGTTTGGATGATTGGATTTTGAACTTAATATATATATATTTGGTTTGGTTGAATTTTCTTATTTTTGCATCATTAGATATATATGACCAATCATGCCATTTCACATTTGTTTTTGAATATTGATTATGGAACTAATGGCTAATCTCTCTTTTGATTGTGATCTTAGCAGCTTAAGTTATATATATATTTAAAATCAATTGGCTATGCTTTTCAAAACCTTGTTTAAAAAATTTTAATGTCTTTTTGATTTAACAAAAAGGGGGAGAAGTATAAAAGTGTTAAAGGGGAGAAGTGTTGTAGTAAGGGGGAATAATTTTTCAAAATTAATTTCAAAATTTTAGAAAATCTTAAAATAACACAAATGTTTTGTTATATCAAAAATAGGGAGATTATTGAAACCATTTTTGTGTTTCTATATAACAAATTAAGTTTAAATGAATTTTAAGATTTTACAAATGATTTTCTAAGTATATTCGATTTAATTAATCGAATATCAAATTATTACTCAAAGTCTTTCAAGTTAAAATTCAAAGCTTGCTAAATGTGTAAAATTGTGTTTTATACTTAAACTATTTTTGAAACAATTTTCATAAAGTATTTTGAACCAAAATCAAGCCTAAAATCAATTTATCAAAGTGATGCACCGATGCACCAATCCATGCATCGTTGCACCATGAATTAAATTGAACATCGAATGCATTTCATGCATCGATGCACTGAGGATTTTATGAAAACATCGAATGCATTTGATGCATCGATTCACCAGCCATGCATCGATTCACTCTGACTATTTTGAAACATCGAATACACTTGATGCATCGGTGCACTCTTAGTGCACCGATGCACTAAGGGTCCAATGGTCAAAATATTTGAATTTTACACTTATGCACCGATGCACCATGGGAATGCATCAATGCACTGACGCTCCCAAATGCTTTAATTAATTGTTTTCACACTTAAACGGCTCTATTGACTCCACTAAGCATCCCCAATATTCAGAATCATTTGAAGGTGTATTTAAACAAGCTTAGAAGCCATTGATCAATAACAAGAAACAACAATCAACAAGAATCAAGAGAGAATCAAGAGAGAATCAAAGAGAAAGCATCAAACCTCAAGTTTGAGCATTTCAAGCGTATTTTTCATTCAATATTCATTTTGCTTTCAAGAACACTACTTGTACTCAATTGTATTCATTTTTTAATGTTCTTTTCTTTGTTCTAGAATTGTGCAAACAATCTACCTTGTGAGGATTTCCTTGTAAGTTTGCAAATTTGTAATCTTCTCTTTGAGAAAGAGTGTTCTCAAGAATTGGGGTATATTCTTGACGGAGTAGTAAGGTTATCTCTTTGGCCTCAAAAGAAAGAACAAATTAGTGAATTTGTTGGAAAATCCTTAGTGTGGATACCTAAGGTAATGGACGTAGACCTTGATTGAGAAAGTCAACCACTCTAAATCACTGTGCAATTACTTTCAATTTTCTGCAAAAGCTTCCACCAAAATTTTAATTGCCAATTCACCCCCCTCTTGGTCGATTCCGACGATCGATTAACTCAACACAAAGCCTAGTAGCTCCTTAAGGTGTATAAAAATATACCAATATCAAACACTTTGGTAAAATTTATTTAGAAAATATGCTTTAAAGAAAACATAACCATTACCACACCTGAACACCAGAATGTGTAGGTTCCTTTGAACCATACACCCACATATGTACACTTGGTAAGGACTTATCTTGTGTACAAAGTAGAGGAACCTATAGCAATACCCCATAACAAAAATAATTATGCATGCATTTACGTGAAATCAATAGTTTAATTATTTCAAACATGAAAAATATTCCATGGTTTGAAATCATATTTATAAAATATGGTACTAGAGATCATGCTAAAAATATAATGTAATTCAGATATCAAACCAAAGACATATAATAAATAAGATATCATGCCATCAAAATATTTTGTATCATAAAAATTCTAGAACGGTTCAGATAAATAAATCAAAATGGTAATTTAACACCATCAAGAACACACATGTATCGGTCTGACAAGGTAACTCGACTCGACTTGAAATTTTCTTTCAATTTCTAGTTATTCGATTCAACTTGAACTATCAATTCTGATTTTGAGATCGATTTAAGTGAAATTTGAAAATTTCAAGTTACTCGAAAAATAAATATTTTACTATGTATTTTAACAGTTTTATGATTTAGGGGCTGTTTGTTTGCCTTTTAATGGAACCATTTAGCGCTAAATGCTAAACCGTTAAGCATTCAGCGCGTTTGTTTCACACCTCTGAATGATTCAGTGCTGACTGATTCAGCAAAACAGTACTGAATGATTCAGCACAGAAGTACATTTTGAATCATTCAGAGTCAGTTATCAAACATCATGTCACATTCAGAGCCAAACCATTCAGAGCCTCTGAACCATTCAACATTTGAATCATTCAACGCTTAATCATTCTGAAGTAAACGAACATCCCCTTAGTCTCTACTTTCATTATTCCTTCAATTCCTCCATTTTAAGTCTATTTTTAACCAAATTTGAACCACATGCTCATAAGTCATCCTAGAATACAGATGTATTTTCAATTCCTCTTTTTGATAATAAATTTTCTATATTTCAATTTAGTCTCTGAATTTTTTATAATTTCCTTATTTCTCCAATTCATCATTTATTTTAAGTCCACTTTTTAACCAAATTTGAACCACATGCTCATATACCACTATAGAATACCTATGTAACTTCAATTCTTATTTTGTTGACTAAAAATAACTCTCTTTTTTATTTAGACCTTAACATTGAATTTTTACTCAATTTGGTCTTTTGACTGCTATTGTTTTTAAATTCTTTCTTCCCATCAATTTCTTGATTCTTGTATACTCTCATCAATAATTTACTCTCAAAATAAAGAAAAATATAATATTGTGAATATATTTTATAATTTTTATATTTTATTTAATATATTAAATAACATTATAATGTGAATTTGAAATATATATATATCTTATATGGTTAGAGAAAGTCAAAAAAATTGAAACCAATCCTTACCATAATACTATAAATAACTATAATAAAATTAGCACATAAACTCAAATAAGTTGAGTCGAATAAGACAACTCAAATTTCTTAAACTCAACTCGACTTTAAAAAGTTTCAATTTAAGTTTGAGTTGAAAAATACGACTATTCAACTCTAATAAATCAAATATTTTTTTTACTCGATTTGATCGAATGCTCACCCCTATGACAAGGTAGCCTATTGTTGGGTCTGCCTATCACGATTAGCAGCAGTACTAGATCCTATAAATCGAGAGAAATTATATCATTATCCTAATATGATAAATTACAAACTTTATTAAAATAATTTATGAAAACCTACGACTAACTCTGAAAATACGCAAATCTGCTGATCTACGCAAATCGTGCTTATATGCTGGATGAGAAGCATTGAATCTAGTTCTTGTGCCCAAATTCCGTCCGGATAATGCAAACCGAATTGGAAGCAGTAAAGATCAATCTGAAGTTGTTCGTGCCAGGGTTTCAAATTAGTTTAACTTACACTGGAATGATCCGTATTGAATGGGTCTTAATAGCACGAGGAAGGAATGGGTAGGAACCGAACATTCAACGAATCGTTCGTGAACCGTTTGACGGGAAATTTATTTATGTTCATTTATTTATTAAATGAACGAACATGAATAATATTTTGTGTTCGTTTAATTAAATGAACGAACATGAACAGAGGAATCGTTCGTTCATTTACGTTCGTGAACGTTATATAATATGTTTGTTTATGTTCGTTCATTTATGTCCGTTCGTTTATGTTTATTTATGTGCATTCATTTATGTTTATTACAATCTTTCTAGACTCATTTAAAATATTAAAGCCAATAAATTTTAATATGATATCCGTAAATATTTTAAAATTCAATTAATTTTAAATACAAATAAAAAAAAGCTCAAAACAATAAAATATAATATAATCCTAAAATTGTTAAGAAATAAAAAATAATAATTTCATTTATGTTCGTTTATATTCGTTTATTTGTGTTCGTCTATGTTCGTTTATTGTGTTCGTTTATGTTCGTTCATTTGTGTTCGTTTATCATTTAAATGAACGAACACGAACAAGCTACATTCCTTAACGAACAAATACGAACAAGAAATTTTTGTTCGTTTATTTTTGTGTTCATTCATTTGTTCGGTTAAAATTAAACGAACAAACATGAACATACCCCAATCTTGTGCGTTTACAAACATAGGAATAGATGGTGGGAGCTCTCATTGGGTTGGGTTAAGGGTTTCAAGTTATTTTCTCAATTTGAATCTTGTGGAATGATTTGTGAATTCGGATAAAATATGCAAGTTGTGCAACCAAAAGAAATGGAAATACCCAAACAAATAACCCATTACCAATTGAACTCAATAACCAACTATAAAATCTATTGACCCAATGACCAAATTAAATGTCCAAATGACCATTAAAGTCCAATTACAAATTCATTTCATTCTTGACAAAAGCTAAACCCAATCAAATTAAACATTACATTACAAGTCATGACCCATTAACCCATTACCATATTAAAATTACCCGAAACCTACATCACCCTTTCTAGAGAAATCCTAGACCTAATGGACAACTGCTACTCGAACCTTCCATGTCAGCTGCACATCCTCCACATTCGAGAAGCTTCAACAGTGGACATGATCCTCAAAGCTCAACAACCGTACGCTCCCAAGCAAATCCCACTCATAAGTCGTCACCATGCAAGGAAAACAGAAAAACAGAAAAAAGAAATAAGAATTCTTTGTGATTTTATCTTTTAACCTCTATAAAATGGGTTTCTATAAAAACCCAAAATAAAAAAATGCAACAAGGATGATCTTCCTCCCTAGATTTGATTGACGTAGGGAATGTAAAGGGGTTTTTGTCCTATTCAATAGAAGCAATACGAAAGCAATTGTTTTTTTCGGGTATTCACATTTTCTCTATTTAAGTGCACTGTGTGTGCATGTAGGAGTGAGTCCTTTGTTACATTCGAAAACTAAAATATATAAAAGTGAGGGAGTCATTTTTGTTACCTGATTTTATGGGTGGTCTCGCTGGAGTGTATGTTGTCGGGATCGAGTCGTCGGCGCTATATGGGACCAAGAGTCAATCGACCGAGTGTTTTAGAAGGTTAGTAGGTTGTTTAGGTTACACGAAGAAAAGACGTTTGATGTTGTTTGGTTAGTCTCGATTCGTCCAGCCATTGACGAAGATGGTGAAGGCGAGAGGTGCAGCGTCGATCCACGGCGGGTGCAACGTCTTGTGGGTTTTTGAAGAGTGGTGGCCAACGAAAGACTTTTGGGGTGAAGGAGGCGGTTGCGTTGTAAGGGAGAGTTAAGAGAGGTGTTGTTTTAGGTCTAGGTTACTGAATAAGTCAAAAAAAAAACATGTGATTTATATGTTAGAGCTTTATGAGTTAATAACGCATATGTCACTCTAACTTTTTCTTCTTTTTACACTTAAGTCACTAATTTTGTATTTTTATTTTATTATTTTCGAATTAATGTCCTCATCGTGCTATTTTCTATATTTATATTTAGTGTTAATTTTTGGTTTATTCTAACTCATAACCCTGTACATTTGCTATGTTTTTACACTATAGTCCCTAATTTTCTACTTTTTATTTTTATTTCAAATATTTTTGTCCTAATTGTATGATTTTCCATTTTATTGTTTGTTCTTTAATCTACTTAGAAATTTAGGTGTAATGTCTATTTAATTCTTCCAATTGTGACGTGGTTTTACATTTTGATCATTAGCTTTGTTTTGAATTTGTTATGATTTTTCTGCTTTGTTTATATTTATTTAAATATGGTCCCTGTTTCCACCACTTATGTTTTATTATAATTTAGCCCCTTAAGCTTTTATTTTTTTTATGTTTTAATCCCTAAATTAGTTGTATCATTAATTAAGCCTAATACTAATTAGTTTATTAAATTTTTAATTTGCAATTTTTAATTTTTAATTTGTATTACTAATTATAGCTTATTTACACTATAGTCCCTAATTTTGTACTTTTTATTTTTATTTCAAATATTTTTGTCCTAATTGTATGATTTTCCATTTTATTGTTTGTTCTTTAATCTACTTAGAAATTTAGGTGTAATGTCTATTTAGTTCTTCCAATTGTGACGTGTTTTTACATTTTGATCATTAGCTCTGTTTTGAATTTGTTATGATTTTTCTGCTTTGTTTATATTTATTTAAATATGGTCCCTGTTTCCACCACTTATGTTTTATTATAATTTAGCCCCTTAAGCTTTTATTTTTGTTATGTTTTAATCCCTAAATTAGTTGTATCATTAATTAAGCCTAATACTAATAAGTTTATTAAATTTTTAATTTGCAATTTTTACTTTTAATTTGTATTACTAATTATAGCTTATTTAGCTTTAAATGCATGATTGTTGACTTTTCTTTAATATATATTAATTTTTAATTACTTTTAATATATTTTTCTCTTAAGATTAATCTTTCCTTTAATTAGTAAAATTTTAGGGTAAATTCTTTAGTTTCATTTCTTTTTTATTTAATCCATAATTAGTGAATTAGATTTTAAATTTTAGCACTTAGATTTAGATTTAGATTTATCACACTTTAGTCCTTAAATTTCTTAATTAGATGAGTAATTCGATTTAGTCCTTTTATTAATGCTTGAGGGTTCAAATTAATTATTTAGTTAACATAATTAATTATAGTTAATACTTAGAGCCTTAACTTTATCTTAATTTTACTTTAGTCCTTTAATTTAAGAAATAATTCGATTTGGTTGTCGCATTAAATGCTCGAGGGTCTATTTAGATTATTTGATTTAATAATTAGTTAAAATTGATTAGCATTAATATTAGTTCCTACATTTTTAGGTTTAATCCTTTAGATTCTTTAAAGGGTAAAGTATATAAATAATCCCCCAATTTTTAGGGCACTTGTATTTTGGTCACCTAACTTTTGAAACTTGCAATAAGGTCATCGAACGTTTTGTTCATTTTAATTAAGGTCCTTGTCGTTATTTCCCATTAGTTTTTGATGTCGTGGCAGTTAACCCTCTGTTAACCTTTTTTTTGCTAAAGTGGCAATTAACCCTCCGTCGAAGAAGAATAAGAATAAGATCCTTGTCGTTATCTCCAGTTAGTTTTTGCTGACGTGGTATTTATCCCTTCTTCTTCTTCTTCTCTCCTAATCCAACTCATTCTTTCTCTCTCTAAAACCAAGTTAAGCATATTCGTTTCGAAAATAATACTTTACAACCACAATAACACTATTATATATCTCCAACATTTTTCCCTTCACTTGATTAATCCATGGAGATTTTAAGCTTATTCAATGAAGGTTTCACTTACATTTCCATTTCCTTTCTTTTCCTTCCATTTATCCTCTCCGTACTATGCCACAATGGTACCGATATCATCCCGGTAGGCTCACCAGCACTGCCACTGGGTGTCTCGATGCAACGATTGATGTTTAAAGACCAGAGACTTTTCATTGTTTACCATTTAATCTAAGCATTCAAGAGAGCGATCATCGAAGATCCGCTTAATAGGACAGGGAATTGGATCGGGTCAGATATATGTAGCTACATGAGCTTTTAATGTGATAACTCATCCGATAATGAATCTGTCGTTGCCATCATCGATATTGACTTCAACGGGTTTTTATTACCGCCCCAACATTAGAAGGTTTTGTCGATAACCTCCTCAACCTGGCTATCTTCCATGCAAATTCAAACAAGTTCTTTAGTTCCATATTGGATGTGTCAAAGCTTAGATATTTTTACGAGTTGGACATAAGAAACAACGGCTTCTCTGGAACATTCCCGACGATAGTTGTCGGAGTAAAAGACTTTTTGTTATTGGACATCCGTTTTAATTCCTTCGTCAGGGAAGTTTCGTCGGAGATTTTCAACCAAGCACTCGAAGTCCTCTTCATCAACAACAACGATTTCACTGCCAAACTACTGGAGAACTCCAGTTCGATGTCGGTTCTCTACCTCACCTTTGCGAACAATCTGTTAATCGACCCGATCTCGCAAAGCATACACGACCTTAACTCGATATTAGTCGAGGTTTTACTAATGAACAACAAGTTATTAGGTTGTCTCCCTTACGAACTAGGGTTTTTGAAAGAACTTAGAGTATTCAACGTTGAAATCAACCTGTTAACGACCCATTGTCGATCTCCTTTTCCTACTTGGAGAAAATTGAGCTGCTTAACTTTCCTAATTATATGCTCTACTAGGAAGTACCTGAGGAACTGTGTGCATTTCCAAGCTTGGTGCACTTGTCATTGTCGGGTAAAAGCAAAAGTGAACAGGTAAATACAGCTTGACAGAAGAAAGAATGGACAATGCTTAAGTTGGTTATTGAGAGAGAGATAGAATGAATTGGATTATAAGATAAGAATAAGAAGAAAAAGAAAAAGAAGAATGGGTCAATGAGAATTGAAAAAAAAGAAGGGTTTACTGTCACGTTAGCAAAAAAAAAAAAGAATGTTAACTGCCACGTCAGCAAAAACTAACGGGAGGTAACGGTAAGGACCTTATTGAAAATGAACTAAAAGTTTAATGTCTATATTGCAAGTTTCAAAAGTTAGGTGAACAAAATGCAAGCACCCTAAAAATTTGGAAACTATTTATATACTTTACCCTTCTTTAAATTACATAATTTGACACTTTAAGATAGAGGGAAGCCTTAATTAATACACCTAGTATAATTAGGTTCATAAATGTTTGTTTACTAAGATCAATAACGAAGTTTTCGCATTAAATACTTGAGGGTGGTTGTTATTGGTTTCGAAATGAGGAGTGATTTTATCCTTTTTATCAAAATGGTGAAATTATATATCAAGTCCTTTAATTATCCTTAATTTATAAATTTGTTTTAAAATTTAATTAAACATCATTTTAGTCCTCAAAATTAAATTAAATAAAAAATTATCCCTTAAAATTTGGTGTGTGCAATCACCAATTTTATCCCCAAAAAAAATTAATCATTACATCCATACCCTGCTGCATCCAAATCCCAGCAGATCCCATCCACTAAGCTCCATGACCTATCACCTATAAACACCGACTGCACCAGCACCAAGCCAACCTCGTTAACAGTGACAAAACAAAATATAAATTAGGATATGTATTTTTTTTCACTTTTGGTAAGTATAAAAACCCCAATCACAATGTAAAAATTGAACCTTCTCCACCGATTTTTCGTTTCTCTCTAGAAAGTAAAGAGAGCATTGTAAACAATTGGTTACCATTTTTTATTTTCAATACCAATATAACAACAATATAATGAAGGTTTTCTTCTTCATTTTTTTCGGGTAACCATATTTTTATTTCTAAATTCAAGCAGAAAAGTAGTAGAAATAAAGATAATAAAGAGGGTTAGCTACTGTTGTCTTAGTCGAATAGGACCTTGCTGGAGTCGAATCATCGGGGTTCGTCTAGTGTTGAGGTCACCATCGGGTCTGGGAAGTTGATCGATAATTGGTGGTGATGGTTTAGGGGGTCGGTTTGGCTCTCGGGACCTTTGGGTTCGGATTTTAGAAGAGGAATAAGTGTTTTGGGTGTGGTCGTCATAGGAACCCGACCACCGTTGTTGGTGGTCAGCGAGGTTTTAAGGCCGAATTAAGGATATATCTAGCGGCATTGAGAGTGAATAGTGGCATCTTCATCGTGGGTCGTGGGTTTTGGGTTAAACATTTGGAGAGGATAATAAGCTTTCAAGGTTCCTTATAAGGTCGTGTGGTCCCCTCGATTGAGTGGAAGGTCGGTAGGATCGAGAAGGCCACCGTTGCTTGGTGGTTGGCAAAGAATGGCCCTTGGATCTTTGGGGTTGGGCGTCGCTCGTGAGGAAGAAAAGTCGATGAAGATGAAAGTTATGTTTTGTTTCGGGTTTAGGGTTAGGTGTTTAGATTAATATTAGGATATATTTAGACTTTTTTGGGTTAATCACGCTGGGGTCCCCCGAAGTCTGGCGTGTTTTATCGTTTTGGGCCCTACTTTAGGGTTAATTCCCTCTTGGTCCCTTTAGTTTGGACGCATTTTTCTATTTTGGTCACTAATGCCTTGGTCTTTTTTATTCATTTTTCTACTTTGGCATTTTGTTTTGCTTTTATTTTATTTTGGTCACTTTTATTATTATTATTATTATTATTATTATTTGTTATATTTTGGTCACTACTTTTTATTTTATTTGTTTCGAATATGGTGCATCAATTTCACTATTTTTTATTTATTGTTATTATTCAAACCGACGTTGTGGTAATCCAATCCGAGGTATGATCCACATTATTACGGTCTGGGCTCTATTAACATCTAACCACTAATCACTAACCACTAACTGCTAACAATTT